CTCAGGAGACTGAGGAGGGAAGGAGGAATATTGCATTTGAGGCCAGCCTGGTCTATGTAATGAGTTCTGTCATGGCTAGTAGACTGGGCAATTTACTGAGACCTCTCCCAAAAAGAAAAGAAGCAGGGGCAGGGACCCATGAGAAACTTTCTGTACCCAAATGTACCCGGGATGGGTTGGAGGAGGCTCAGGGACGTCCACTGATAGGCCCAAGACCACTAGGCCCCACGACACACTACCGTATCTCCACAAGTAAGAATGAGGAACTGAGGTAAGTGTTGACTGAACAGGCTGAGGAGAGGGAAGGTCACCCCCTCAAAGTGTTACTAGGAACAGAGTCTGAGTCTGAGTCTTCAGCCCGTGACCATCAAGTTGCTCAGCTTCTTCTTTTCCCACTTTTTCTTCCTGACTTCCGACCTTCCTCTTCCATGCTGTGTCCAGGAAGGACACAGCTGCAAGCAAGCGTGGTCCTGGGGAGGCTGAGAATGCAGGCTTTCAAAGTAAACACAGAGTTGCTGGGCGTTGGCCTTTAATCCCAGCACTCGGGAGGCAGAGGCAGAGGCAGAGGCAGAGGCAGGCGGAGGCCAGCCTGGTCTCCAGAGCGAGTGCCAGGACAGGCTCCAAAGCTACACAGAGAAACCCTGTCTCGAAAAACAAAACAAAACAACAACAACAAAAGATAAACACAGAGTGGACACCACAGCCACCAGTCTACCCTTGTCTCTCAGAGCTCCCTCCCTCTCCCCTAGACAGAACTCAGTCCCAGGTCCCCAAATTACAGAAGTGAGAAGCAGCCTACGCACAAAAGCCAAGCCAAGGCCAGGAAAGGACAGATTCAGGGAGGTGGTGGGAAAGCCACCACTTCCAATAGTCTGGGTGATGCTGCCCCTCCCTTACCCCAGTGGGGGTTCCTAAGGGTTGGGAAAAATGGAAACCATTCCTTCCCAATGAAGGAGAAGGCCTTCTTGAGTCTCTGAACCGAGTACTGCTGGTGTCAGAGGGACAAAATGCAAAGGAGTAACCGTGGCAAGAACCCACAGGGCGTCTCTCCCAGCATCACTGGTGTGAAGGACTCTGGATTGGGGCAATCAGGGCTGTCCCCAGTCTGTGACGAACTTGTCTCTTCTTGTCTCTCCACAGGCCCTAGATGCCAGGCCCCAGAGATAGAGGTACCACCATCACTGACGGTGAACCTGGGGGATGAGGCCCGCCTCACCTGCAAACACGACGCCAACAATCCTAATGTCACATGGTATTACGGTGATTTTCAGTACAACTTTAACAACTCCATACCCGCAGTGTTCCTGGGTCCTGGTCAGGGGCCCAGAGGCGAGCTGGTCATCTCTAACGTGAACAAGAGCCATAGGGGCATATACAGGTGCCATGTGGAAGAAAACAACGAGGCACAATTCTCCTGTGGCACCTACCTCCGAGTGCGTAGTGAGTAGCAAGGGACACCGCCCCTCGGGTTCCCCGTCCTATCCAGAACACGGCTTTCATGGGAGCGGAGCCAGTTCCTCCCTCCTGGACCTACACCCAGCAGCACACAGGCTCTCACCTGTAGGATGGTGGCTTCAGGACTCCCTGACCTCACAGGGGGCAGGGCTGGGAGAGGAGGGGGCACCGGAACAG